GAAATGAGCGCGATTAGGAATGAGCACGATTAGAAGATGAGCGCGATGCTACACCAGAGAAAAACCCCAATCAGTTGATGGTTTTCGCTGAAGAGAGATCGACCGGGAGCCCAGAACCCACCGAAATTGGCCCGGAACCTGGAGCCGGGAACCCGGGAACCCGGAGTTGGGAACCCGGGAACCCAGCCTGCCACCAAAATCGGCGGGAAACCTTCGCCAAATCTGTCAATTTCTATTAGGACCCCTTCAGTGCGAGCACTGATTGGGGAATTTATCCCCCTACACTTCTCCTGGGCGCCATCCCGATCTGTTCTGCGCCGCGTGCAGCTGTGGTGACGACGGGGCCATCGGGGGCCCACAACGAGGAGCAGGTGGAGGCAGACGAGAGCAACAACATTTAAGAAAGGAGAGCAACAAGAAGAGAGGACGAACACAGATCGGATGCAACAAACCTGTACGCAACCGTCCCTACACCTCGCCGTGGATCCGCGAAAGTCGCGGCGGCGCCCAGCACGAGGCGAGAGCGCTCGTCATGACGTTGCCACGACTCTTGGACGTTGCCACAACCCACCGAAATCGGCCCAGAACCCGGAGCCGGGAACCCGGGAACCCGGAGCCGGGAACCCGGGAACCCAGCTTGCCACCAAAATCGGCGGGAAATATTCGCCTAATCTTTCAACCTCCGTTAGGACCCCTTCAGTGCAAGCACTGATTGGGGAATGTGTATATAGGTATGTATGGGTAGATTAACATCTCGCCCTCGGCGGAAGCCAGTGGAAGCCCGCGGGAGCTCGGCGGAAGTTGGCGGGAGCTAGCACTGACGCTCCAATGGGGGGGGGGCTGGCCACATGGAATTGCCGCGAGGTTTTGCTCTCTGCCGAGCGGTCTGCGGTGGGACGGGGGGCAGGAGGGCACCTTCAGCCTGTGGGGACATGAACCTCAACACTGACACGTTGCGCCCGAGTGTATGTACGATGAGTTCTGGCGGCAATTGACCATGCCATGACGGCGCACGTTATTGAATGTCCTACATGCCAGTGGTGACAACTTGGTTTGTCTAACAGTAACAGGATTGGTGAGCTACCAACGCGCCTAAAGCATGGTCAGTGCCCTGGCACCTGACCCATCCCCACAAGCCAGATGCTCCAGCAAATCTGGACATGAAGGCGACGTGAGCTCTTGTTGTGGGGGTGGCGGGTACTCTAACCCTGCTCCTGTCCGAGTGGTGGAGGGCGGGCAGTGTGGGGTGTCGTTTTTCTCCCCCAGACATCGGACGCCCTGATTTCCAAAACAGTGTTTCCGCTGAAGGGGTTTTTTATTTGTCAGGAAGGAACTACCTTCTGCTGCCAGGAATCTCTTCGGACGGGTTCGTCTATGGCTGTCGTCTTGCCTCCCGCCTCATTTTCCAAGGGCTGGGCTGTCCTCGACTGTCCACTTTGCATCCCGCTGCAAGTCATGTTCCTTGAGCTCGATCGTCATACTTTGTCCTTGTGCATCCAGCCACTGGAAGTTTCCTTGGTCCTTGTCCCCGATTGTCCCTAGCTCTGGTGCTTGCCCTCTAGTGCCGCAGGTGCGCTTTGTTCTGGCGGGTCCTCGACAGACCCTGCTTTCCAACTGCTGTTCCGTCCCGGTGCTCCATTCCCATGGAATGTCCTGGTCGCATTTTCAGTCGAGATTCTCTGACGCGTCATTCCAAGACCAAACGAGTTCAATTTCCAATCCGTAGCCATTCTGGCTCACACGCTTGGCCAAAGCAGTCTCGACAACCCTGGAGGCTTCGAGAGCTGTGCGGCACATCATGGGCTCGAGGCTCTCCTTCTTGGAGTCGCTCTCTTGTGCCAATGATGGGAAGAGCAGCTGCGTAGAGGTCGAGTCTTCGGTCACCCTTGGCGATGGTGTAGCAGTCCCGCTGACAAAGATCAGCGCGCGGTCGCTGGAGAGCACGTCCGACAGGCCGCTGCTTGTGCTGGGCCACGGGTTTACGAGGGATCGCGGAGACTGGTGCAGTGGCCTCCGCAGTGTGTTGGATGCCAGCTTCAGGCCGCCTTCCCCCCTGATCGCGCACGGGGTTGCGTATGACGCGAGGGGCCACGGCGGATCGGAGGGCTGGCAGGGCAAGGACAGGTCGCAGTTCCACTGGTCGAGGCTGGGCAGGGACATGCTGGAGGTGGCGGAGCAGCTGGGCGGCGGAGCCAGCAAGCTCCTGCTGGGCGGCGAGAGTATGGGCTCCATGGCCGCCCTCTGGGCCGCCACCCTCGAGCCCGAGAAGGTCCGGGGCGTCTTCCTCTACAAGGTGCCCACCATTTGGGCGGCCCGCGCCGCCGCCCGGGGCAAGAGGCTCGCGGGCGCGGACGAGATGGAGGACGCGGACCTGGCCGAACGCGCCCGGGGCGCGGCAGAGGCTGACTGCGTGGACGCGAGCGAGCTGGTGGATAAGCTGAGGGACATCCCGGTGGTTATCGTGCAGGACGGGCAAGAATCGGCACGGGCACGAGACCCAGACCACCTGGAGCAATGGAAAATCATGACGGGAGGTGTTTCGTCATTTTGGGCCTCTGGGGGCCCTTGTGCTAGGCCTCGGGACTGTCAGACAACGACTCGGGATGAGAGACCGTTCCAAGGAACGGGGCGAGACCTCCGAGGGTCGACGTTGTGACAAAACTCATGACGTCGGGGTCTTTGGGAAGGGCATGGACTTGTCGTGCAGGCGTGGGCGGCAACCGCGGGGACGGAGGGGGGAGAGAGAGAGAGAGAGAGAGAGAGAGAGAGGGAGGAGGAGCTCTAGGGGCATGGAGAAAATACCGTGGAGAGATCCTCGAGGCCGCGCCGACTTGCTCTGTGCCCCCCCCTCCCCTGGGCCCCCCCCTGCCTCCATGCAGGGCGGCGGCGACCCGATGCACCCCGTCGCGTGCGCCGAGGAGCTGGCGGCGGTGCTCCCGCGAGCGCGGCTGGTGCTCTGCACGGGGCCCGACGTGGGCCAGCGGAGGCTCCGGCGGCGCCGGGACGCCGAGCTGGCGAGGTGGCTCGCGGACTGCTGCTCCTAAGTGGCCTCAGAAGTCGGGCCTGTCCCTCTACAGGAAGGAAGATTCCAGAATGGTTTCAGATGTGCATGTGTATAAAGTCTGGGGGCGATGTTTGGAGCATCTGGTTTGCAAGTTTTGTGCATGTTCTGACCATTTTCTGTCCTCCAAAATCCCCGCGTAGGGGGACACGCCCGATCTACAAATATTGTTCGTTTTGAATTCCTTTCATTATTAGAAATATGTTTGGACTACTTTTAGCTTCTCGTCGAAAATCCACCTGCAGGGGGACACGCCCGACCTAAAAGTGGCCGCGGCGCGCGGGCAGGCGGGCGCGGCGGGCGCAGCAGCGGGAGTGGCGGGGGCGGCGGCGCCCCTCCGCCGGCCACGCGCACCTCCCCGCCAGCCGCCCGTCCTTCCCTCACCGAGCGCGTTTCACTACTACTCGCAAAGTGCCTACAGCTGGGGCCCTGAAGAAGGAACCCTTTTCGTTGGGGAGGGGCTCGGTGTTCCTTGATGGTTATACAGTTTGCCTTGGGTTTTCCTTTGGTTTCCGAAGGGAGAAAAGGGGCCTCGTTCCTTATTTAGGGTTCCTTAGGTCAGCGCTCCGACTGTACTCGCAAAGTGCCTACTCGCAAACGTCCGAACAAAAACACGTGTCTGCTTCGATGTCATGTATCGTAGATCCCCTACGGGGGATCCAGGCCAGCTGCGAATAGCTACTTTGCGCGTAGTGGAGCGCGTTCGTCTACTCTCCTGGAAGGGGCCCCTGCGATCCCAGGCGCCTGCTGCTGGGGTGAAGTCGGGCATGTCCCTCGACAAAGGGAATATGCAATAATAGTTTTCAGTCAGGCACGCCCCTCTACAGGGGGAATATTCAAAAATAGCCTAAGAATAGTACCTGCACGCTGTTTTAAACATGTTTTGCATATTTCTGATTACTTTCAATTTTTCGTGGGAAATCCGCCTGTAGGGGGACACGCCCGACCAAAGAATAGTTCAGAGAAATAGTTTTGGGGCGATGCTTCGGCTATTTTGCCAATATTTGTTTATTTGTTGGTAAATGCTTGTTCTTCTTCTTCTTCCAAAATCCGCCTGCAGGGCGACAGGCTCGACCTAATGCTACTGCTGCCGAGTGCGGCCGGCCAGAGCGGGCAGGCAGTAGGATCGGCCGGCAGCGCCGTGGCACAAGTCCACGCCAGCGGTGGTCGTCATGGTGCGCGCTGTCCGTGGCCGTATCGGAGCAGACGGGTGCCGTGCGAGAGCATGCGCTTTCACGAAACAGCACGCATGTCGAGGTCGATCGAACGACCGTCAGCGCGCGGAACTCAGGAGCAGTTCGGGTTCGGGGGACTCGCGGTTCCTCGGGTGGTTCCTCTGGCGATCCTCGTGCACCCAGGGGCTGTGGGGGCCACACGGGGGCTTGGCCCACCGTGGTGTAGCATTTCGGTCGCACGCGTCGCAGGCGGGTGACCTCCTTTATCTCGCCACGCGTGATCACCGCACGTTGTGCCCCCTGCCTCAGTGTTAGCCGGCGGCGCGCCCAGGGTGAAGGCAAGAGGGGGCGGGCCTTCCCCGAGGGCTCAGAGGGCCTCGGGCCTTCCGACCGAGAAGCTCTGCAAGCCCCCTCCGAAGCCCCGCGCACTCGGACCACGCCTGGCCCCTGCGGACTTCCCCCCTCGGCGCGCCGCAGGTCTTTCTGCCGAGCCCTCGCCACGACCTCCGCGCGCGCCCTCTCGAGCTGGACGGGTCTGTTGGGCCCGGTGCGAGGCGAAAGATGCCCGTCTTGATTGCAAGTCGGGCGCGTCCATCTGCAGGAGGAATACTCAAAAATAGTCCAGGGACTACTTGTTTGACTATTCTTCCGTGTGTTTGAGCATGCTTCATTCCCCAATCAGAGCTTGCCTCCTGTAGGGGTCCGAGCGGATATAAAGCTGAGGTGAGGTGAGCGGCCGATTTCGGTGGCCGGGGCCGGGTGCCCGGGTGCCCGGAGGTGCCCGGGGGTGCCCGGGTGCCCAGGTGTGTGGCCGATTTCGGTGGCCGGGGCCGGGTGCCCGGGTGCCCGGGGGTGCCCGGGGGTGCCCGGGTGCCCAGGGGTGCCCGGGTGCCCGGGGTGCCCAGAAGTGCCCGGGGGTGCCTAGCCCAATAGCCATATATCCCTATAGCCCAATAGCCCAATCGCCCTTATATCCCTATCTTGGCAGGTCTTAGCAGCATTTCATTTCCCTCGCACTTTTTCCTGGTTGCCATTGCCGTCGTTTCAGCAACGTCTCTCCAACTGGCTGGAACCATCCCAGCCCGCGCAGGTAACATCACCCATATCACCAGGGCAAGCCTGCGCCACATCACTCAGCAGGGAAGCGTGATGGACGAGGAGGAAAGATGATGAGGGAGAGGAAGAGGAGGAGGAGGAGGAGGAGGAGGAGGAGGAGGAGGAGGAGGAGGAGGGAGAAAAAGGAGCAGGAATAGGGGAACCAGGGGAGGAAGAGGAGGAGAAGGAGGAGGAAGTGGAGAAGGAGGAGGAGGAGGAGGAGGAGGAGGAGGAGGAGGAACGCCTACTACAGCGAGGGCGGCACGTCTCGTAAGATCACATTCGGCCCATCCATCGAGTCTTCCTCATCGCTCAGCAAGCCTAGTTAGGGAACACATCGCAATAACACATTTGCAGGAATACTTGGCACGAATCTTCCATCCTTCTCTTTCGGATATCCACCTCAATCCACGCGTTGAGCGAAATATCAAGTCCCCCAAGTGGGAAATAAATGACACAAAAACAGGTTAGCGTGGGGATCCACTCAGGGGAACCCCTCTCGCGTGAGCACGCAAAACGCAAGGGCGGCCAGGGAGAAGGGCAGGGCACAGGATGAGGAGGGAAGACAAGGGGGGATGGGAGGCCAGGAAGGAGGGGTCATGGAGGTGAGGAGCGACAGGGAAGGAGGATGCGATGGTGATGATGATGATGATGATGATGATGATGATGCTGATGATGATGATGGTGGTGATGCTGATGATGATGACGATGGTGATGATGATGATGATGATGATGAGATGCTGATGATGCTGGTGATGATGATGATGAAGAGGAGGCGGATGAGGATGACGTTGAAGTTGATGATGGTGTTGATGCTGATGTTGATGATGACGCTGGTGATGATGACGATGGTGACGATGATGATGATGATGAGAGAGGAGGATGAGGAGGAGGAGGAGGCTGCTGATGTTGATGATGGCGATGCTGATGATGCTGCTGATGGTGATGGTGGTGGTGACGATAACGACGATGATGATGATGATTATGATGATGTCGTTCATGATGATGCTGCTGATGATGATGGTGATGATGCTGATGATGATGATGATGATGATGATGATGATGATGATGATGATGTCAATGCTGATGCTGGTGGCGATGGCAATGGTGATGGCGTGTGCGCTGCTCCAAGTGTTTTCTGTTCCCTCCTCCCCCTCATCCTCCTGGCCGGGACGCGTTTGCTTGCACATGTTTGCTCGGGGCCTCCCGCCGAGAAAACAAAAACAAAACAAAAACGTCTACGGAGTTTCCTCTTCCAACCCCCTTCTTCCCCTTCGGGGAGGGGCTCACCCCTCCCCCCGCCCCATCCCCTGGACCTGGGCGGTGGGGGAGGGGGCGGCGATGGGGTTGGAGCGTCCAAGATGGCCCAAGATGGCCCCCAAAACGCCTCGGTGAGCCCAAGATGGCCTCCAAGATGGCTCAAGAGATCCCAAGATGCCTCAAGATGGCTTCCAGGATGTCCCACGACGGCACCAGGCGGCGACGGGGCCTTCCATAGGAGGCCGCCAAGATGCCAACCTTCAAACACCTGAGGACAATCAATGTCGTTGGCTTTCTCGCCTTCTCGCTTGCCCCAAGATGGCCTGAACATGGCCCAAGAGAGCCCCACGAGAGCCCCAAGACGGCCTCAAGAGCGCCCAAGGCCCAAAAGGCGTTCCTTTGTGTTCCCGAGGGGGGTGGCTAATTGACATTGAAGCCCCCCCCTTCTTTGATCGATCTCTTCCAAGAAGCCTCCAAAAGGCCCCCAAGATGTCCCCAAGAGGCCTCCAACATGCCCCAAGAAGCTCCCCCGAGGCACCCCAAGACGCTCCAAGAGGCCCCCAGGACCGCCAAGAGGCCCCCAAGTAGCCTCAAGTGGCCTCCAAAAAGGTCCCCAGCGATATCCCAAGACACTCCGAAAGGCCTCTGGCCCTCTCCTCCTGATTCGCCTGCTCCTGCTCCTCCTCCTCCTCCTACTCCTCCTCAATCATCCCCCCTTTTCTCGTGCGACTGCTTCTCAAGCCTGTCCTCAATCATCCCCGCTCAATCATCCCCCCTGTTCTTGTGTATGCTCCGCCACTTCCATTGCCAGTGCAACGCGTCGTTTCTGGACGGGCTGGCGGGGATGCGCGAAGCGTCAACCATTGCTTGGCATTGTTTGGCATTGCTTCAGCGCCTGTCATTGCCCGGCATTGCCGCTCCATCGTGCCTCCCCTGGCGGTCCCCTTGGGATCTGTGGCCTTCGCCCCCCATTTTCTTCCATAGCTGTTGGGGTCCGAACAAGCTGACCCTGACCATGCTTGCATTCAAGCAAGCCGTATTTCTGCTTGCGTGGATACGCTGCCCAGCAGCCACATACCACCATGGCGGTCCGCCCGTCGAGCAGCTCCCAGACGACGAATTCATACGTATGCTGACCAATGACATCATGTTCTTTGGCAACGATGTGCACGAGAGCTGGAATATTATCCTCATGTCCAACCTGCTCGACGAGTTCCTCGAGTTCGCTCGGCGCCTCTATGACGCGCCAGATTCATTCAAAGCATCTATGGGCCACCCTGTCGAGGACATCGACTGGGACTACTGGCGCGACCGATTGAGCCGGGCGCCCTCAGCTTCATCAGGGCCTCCAGCTTCATCATCAGGGCCAGCTTCGTCCGGGCCTCCAGCTTCATCAGGGCCTCCAGCAGCAGCCTCATCAGGGACTACAGCAGCAGCTTCATCAGGGACTACAGCAGCAGCTTCATCAGGGACTACAGCTTCATCAGGGACTACAGCTTCATCAGGGACAACAGCTTCATCAGGACCTCCAGCTTCATCAAGGACTACAGCAGCCTCAGCCAACAAGACGACGACCATCGTCGACCTCACCAACGAAAGCATCGACGACGCGGGGCCGCGCGTCAAGCGCATTCGCTCTAGAGCGCAGGCGCCTGGCGCATAAAACGCACGGAGTGATGGGCAGGAGGGGGCGAAGGAGAGGATGAGGGAGAGGAGGAAAGATACGGGATGACGAGGAGGACGGAGGAACATAATTCAGAGAGGGGGGGAGGAGACGGAGTGAGAGGCTCGGAGGGGGGAGGAGACTGAGGAGGAGAGGGAGGAGGGGTGAACGAAGGAGGAGGAGGAGGAGGAGGAGGAGGAGGAGGAGGAGTTGGCCTTGGGGTTTGACGAGCAGACCAACTTCTCATTGATCCACCTTGTGGCCCTCGACCTTCGCCCCCAACTCCTCCAACCTATCCAGCAACTCCTGCGCCTCTGGGTCTTCTTTGGGGCGACAGGCGCGCGCGAAGACGGAGATCAGTTGCGCGCGCGCAGTCGACCCGAAGGAGGAGCTCACAGAGACGCAAGTGTTGCGGGATAGGCTGGAGGAAGTGGAGACGCAGATCATGGGCTTCAAATGGGACGAGGCGTTCGATGCGGCAGGGGTCCTGGAGGCCTCTCTCACTTCTTACCTGCCCTCGCCATTCCTCCTTCCGCTTCTCAGGGGGGTTATCCAGGAGGAGGAAGAAGAGGAGGGCCCCCCCCCCCCAAGGCGCAGTCTGACTGCGACGCCTACGACGACCTGACTACGGCCACGACGACTACGGCTGCCTGATGACGAGGACCCTCTTCTCAAATCCATATCCACAGCTGTCCTAGTTCAGCCCTGTTCCAGCCAGCCAGCCCTCGAGGGCGGGCAAACTTCGGGCAGTCACCCCCCCCCTCCATCTGCCGCTCCTCCTCCCCGGCCGCCCGCCCAGGACGGCCTGAGCCACGCCCCGGCGGAGCCCGTCGTCTGGCCCGTGGGCCAGCCCGTCGGCCAGTTCGAGGCGCGCGCGCGCGGAGTGGCTGCTCCGCTCGCGGCCTCCAGCATCATCATCATCATCATCAGCATCATCAGCAGCAGCAGCAGCATCATCCTCACCATCATCATCCTCATCATCTCAGCATCGCCATCATCACGATCATGATCATCGCCATCATCGTCATCATCAACATCATCAACATCATCACCATCATCACCATCCATCATGATCACCATCATCATTGTCATCACATCATCCTCCTCCTCCAACTCATCATCAGCATTAACACCCTTAATTCGCATCATCATCATCACCACCATCATTTTCAACATCATCATTGCCATCATAATCATCAGCATCATCATCATCATCATCATCATCATCATCGTCATCGTCATCATCATCATCATCAACATCATCATCATCATCATCATCGTGATCGTCACCCCCGCTTCGGTTCACTCCTCACGCGTTTCATGACTTCAGAGGGAGCTCCATTTAAGGCCCCAGTGGCACAATTTGCACGTGGGCGTCACTCCCGGTGCGGTACACTCCCCACACGCTTCATGGCCCCATAGGGAACTCCAGCTAAATCCCCAATGGTACAGTTCGCATGTAGGCGTCACCTCCGTTTCCTCGCACCCCTCTCACGTTTCGTGGCCCCACAGGGAACTCCAGCTAAGGCTCAAATGGTACCGTTCGCGTATGGGCG